GAAAGTTTCAGAGGCATAAAAAACAAACAGAAAACAATTCATCTAGTCACTAATACCAAGATATGAAAATACTCTATTTTTCTTTAAAACATTTCTAGACCTTACAAATGTAGTTGGATAACACTGAATCAGTACCACATTTTTAACTGGCACATTATTTAAATACACATACCTCACAACATATAAACACTGTACCAGTTTTATAAATATTATCAAAGGCAATTTTATTCACCTTTTTTAACCATCATAAATACACTGATTCATTTATATCAGTAAAGGATTAACTCAGTGATCACATACTTTCATAAAAACACTATTATTATTATTTCCATGCTGATATGTACAAGACCTTCCACTAAAATGAGAAACAAAAAATTTTAATTTTCAAACTAATATTCCTAGCCTTAAAACATTAAAGAAATCAAATCTGTAAAACTAAGTTTTACTTTATTAGTTATTCTGAGAAATAATGGTAACGTATATTAATATAACAGAATTACAATTACAAGATAATACAAACAACAACTTCACCTGTGCAGCTGTGGACTTGATGTATCCACATGAATTTTACTGGCGCTTTTCTTGCCTCTATGGTACATATCAACTATTCCTGGTGTACTCTCTACCTCCCGGCAATCTTTAGTGCGCTCCAAAATGGACAACAGAGACTAAAAGAAAAATAAAGCCCTTTCTTAAACTAGAATACACTTAGTAGTTTGTAAAATATAAAGTTGATACTTTGTTTCCCCCTTATTTGATGCAGTATAGTATTTGAAATTACTAATCTGAAAACCTACTAAACATTTATTCAAAACTGAAGTTTTTCAATGGCTAAATAACTTAACCTGCAACTGTTGTTTGTAAAATATTTTTCTACATACACATGTATAATACCATACATAAACCTTCTCTTCCCTAAAAGATTTTACACCACCATATTCCTTAGAGTGAAATGATATTAGAATTTTCTGTCTGACTCAGTTTCTTTACCCATGAAGAATAAAACTCCTTATATTGAGTAGATCTTGAACAGTAATTTGTGTTTGAGTGCAAAAGTATTTAAACTTCCCAAAAAAAAAACCTCCTAATGTTATGAACTACTGTTGTGAGTTTGTACTTTTTATTCATGATTACTGTTAATATGTAGTTCCAAGACTGCAATTATTCATAGGTGATTACTTCACTTTGTTTTCCAACTTTCATTTTTAAGTTAGAAATTTACATGAATACTTTCTGAAGTACATGATACAAGACAGATATAAGTATCTATAATGTTATACCCTTCAATCTGAACAAGTTTTCTGCATTTCTTAAACTCTATCAAGATGCATTTTGTGCGTGAATCAGTTTTATGTAGATAAAAATAAAGATCGTCAGTAATTAAATTATATTTTTTTATTTGTAATAAAGTTCTGTTTAATTGTTTTTCATGTGTGTTTGTTGGGTAATTTGGGATGGCTTTGAATTTCTTTTTATTGGAAAGGATGTCATTCTTTTTGTCAGTGTATTCTGAAAATTCTAAAAGCTGATAAAGGCAATCTTTATATTTATCTAGGTAAAACTGATTCACGCATACCAGAACTCTATGGCATTCCTAAACCACACAAACAGGACTGCCCCTATGACCTATACTGTCCACTTATGATTCATTCAACTACAATCTTGGCAAATACATAGCCTGGGCTCTCACACCATATGTAACATCTGCAGGTTCATTTTTTAAAGATACCTTCAATTTAAAATATACACTAGAACAACTAAATTCGAAAGCCTTAATGGCTAGTTTTGATGTCGTGTCATTCTTCACCTGAAGTCCCTGCCAATGAATCTTGCAATATTGCACTCAACCTCTACATTAATGACTCCAACAAGTCAATGCACATCCGCAGCACACTTTTTGCTTCTCTCTTAGAATTTACAATGACTAAAACCAACTTCATTTTCAACAATGAACATTTCCTTAAAATAGATGGTTTAAGTATGGGCAATCCTGTTTTGCCTGTTCTTGCCAATACATTTATGACCCAGATCAAACACAAGCCATACATTCTGCACTTCATCCCCCATTATACTGGTACAGATATGTCAATGACACTTTTGCTGGTTTCACTGCTACAGAACACACACTAACTTTCTTTAAACACATAATTTCCATTCATCCCAACATCAAATTTACCATAGAACATGAAAACAATAAACAGTTATCCTTTCTTAACCTCAAAATTATTAGATCGGACACACAGTTTAAAACCAAAATTCACTGCAAGAACACACACACTGGCCTCTACATCCCACACAAAAAATCAATACACTTAAAAACCTCATAAATACAGCCACAATGGACTACATAAATGAAGAAATTAAACACAAAGCATTCCTTTATTCACACCAATAAATTCCCACCAGCTATTGTTGAAAAACTCTCCAACATTCCCCAC